GGCCCCGCCGAAGCCGGTCCCCGCGGGGCTGTCTCGGGGGCTGTCGCACCAAATACCAACATTAAGTGCTCTTCCCAAAGTTAAAGACCAACATAACTACACTTCCTGATACACAAGCCTGAACACAAGCCTGAAAAGAGAATTAAAAGTTAAACCAACCCACCATAATTCTAATTGAAAACCTAAGAAAGAGAAATGGAAGCAGAATGTGTTTAGTCCCAACTTATCCTTAGAATTCAGTCTCTCTGGCATGCAATTTTTAAAGCATCCACAACTTCTTTACACGTCCCTACAGTTTTCTCTTTTCAGTTTAGTATATTAATTCCTGCCTGAATTGTCATTAATTTTTCTACCCTACTTTCCAGCCCAGTTTTCAACCCCACAATACTCATAATAACCTTATAGCTTTCCCACCTCATCTTCAGGAAATGAAGTAACAAGACTATTAACAGGCAACACATTCATATTTCTCTTGGCCTTTTCAATATAATAGCAGTTCCTATTTTCACTTTAAGCTATAACTCATTCTAAACCCATATGTGCTTACTAGAGAAACAGATTTAATGCAAGATATACAAATATTTAAGAATTTACAAGATTGGCTTACAATGGCTGCCCACAGAATCGGGTGTGGAAGAGTGCAAAAGGTCTGCCAGGCACTGGATACAGGCCTGGAGCTCAGTGTAGTGTGCCATGCAAATCCCTATCAGGAGGCTGAAGGGCCTGTGCTGGAAGCCAGGAGATAATGTCTAAGGTGAAGGTGAAGACTGGAGCTTCTCCAAAGAAAACAGAAGCAATCCTTCCCGTGCTTCCCCTTTATATTATTCAGGCTACAAGCTGCCCTAGGGTGGGTCTTCTGTCTTCAGTAATGCCTTCCGCCACACTCAGAACTATACTGATCCAATTTCGTTGGGCATTTCTTACTCAAGTTGACACAGTTAACTATCATACCACACCTCCTCATACACTCCACTCAACTAATCCGTTGTCTTGAGTAATATTAATCATCTAACTACAGACAAAAGTGAACACCCCATCTCACTGCTTACTAATCTAACACTCAAGATTATTAAACTTCTTGGTTTTGCCAATAAGGCAACTGTGTTTTGACATTTTACTGTGCTTTTAAAATTTGCATTTCCATGAAGAATGATGAAATATATTTATTGTCCATTAAAATTTCTTCCTGGGAAAAGTGTGTAAAGGTTTTTTGCATTTTTTATATCTTGGTTACTATTCTTTTATCAGTTTTGTTAATTGTAATCTCTCAATCTGTGGCTTTTTGTACTCAGTGCTATTTTTTTAAAGAATAGAATTCATTAAAAAAAGAATAGAAATTCATGACACATACTTAAATTTATCATTTTCGGGCAAAAAGAAATGTCTTACTGCTCAAAGTTCATAAGGACTGTCTCCTATTTCCTTCTTCATAACGACTGACAGTCAAGCATACCTACTCAGACTTTTACCTAAAAAGTGGTATGTGCTGAGAAATGGAGGCTCAATTTTAATTCTTTCATCCTCATAACCATCCCATCATTTATTGAAATAACCATTTTTTTCTCCCTCACTGTAGGGTCCTACCTCTATCATATTAAGAGTTCACTAATGTTCAGATATATTCTGTATTCTATCTTCTATCCAAGTGGTATTTACGTCTATCCTTGCATCAATATTATGCTCTGGTTATTACAATAGCTTTAAATCTTAATATCTGGCAGAACATTTTTAATGGTGCCTTTAGGTTTATTCCTTTGAGTCT